CAGTAACAAAAGATGATCTTAGTCTAAAACTGGCATTAAGTGTGGCAGGCAAGAAGTCCTAGACTTGTAATTTCAATATTGCATTTTCAAAAAAAAAAGTTGATAATTTTTAACTTTTCGAGAGTAGATTGAAATGTTAATGTCTTAAAAAATCGTTTGCAAAAAAATAAAAAAATATATAACCTACTTTTTACTATTGCTATAGATTTTTATGAGTTACAAGTAGAAAACTTTTAAAGTTTTTATTTGGCCTTGAATGCAGCATCATTGAGTGAAACAGAAAAATGACTAAACAATTTTACTTACAACAATTCTTGAAGTTTTTCTCTGAAAAGCTTCAAGCATGAAGAAATGTTCTGACAGTCAGGCCGTTTGCAAACTAAACTGTAACTGTAGATATTCTGGCATGATTTTATCTTGATTATCATCTACCAGCTGAATGTTACACTATTTCAGAGTACCTATCTTTTGTGTGGTGTTTGAGCGAATTCAACGTGTCTTTTAATGAGATTTTTCTCAACCAACTACAGTTAAACTGTAGACGAGGGAAAAGTAAGCATTTTGTTAAGTCAAAACTTTTCTGTCATTGTTGTGTGCCACACTGAGCTTTCAGTCCTCGTATATCGTATACTGTCACTTTGACATGTACTGATTGCAATTTGTTGTCATAATTTTGTTTGCAAGATTGCAAAAGCTGGCCCGTCAGGACAAAATGTTTTCAGCTGCAGGTACAGTTGTAAAAACAGGGATTGAGTAAAGAAATGTAATCATGAGACATTTTGATTATATGTCATTTAACCTAAGAACATATAGTCAGTTTGTGGGAAAAGTAAAACATGGTTCCTTTAGGTGATCGCTGATGAGGGATAAAATGCACCAAAGTTAACATGTGAACATTACTTCTTATGAATGGGTCGTGTATTAATGGAGAAAGGGAAGAGGTTAAAAACATGGAGCTGAACGTCCCTCCATGCTCAAATGCAAGAAGTGCAAACTGGGAGCTGGACGGTTGTCAGAACCACAAATGGAACAAGGTGAGGGTGGAATAAAAAAATAACCACTCCACAGGAACAGTCTGTCAGCAAATAAGTAGGACATTTTGGGTTTTGAAAAACTGAAAATGGAAAAAGTACACTGTGCATCTAATAGGTTAATATCAGAATGTTGTGTACAGTATTTCCTCTTCAAATGTCTGAATCATGGGTTTCTTGGGATGTGTGCTTTTACAGTATGTCGCTACAAAAGTCCTTGTCAATTTCACAAATGCATTACCTAGAAAAAAAAAGGGTCAAAGTAACTTTAAACCTAGTTTTTATATTATTATTTATTACTAGGGATCACGATATTATCGGCATGGTATCTGTATCGGCCGATATTAACGATAAAATTAAATATCAGACATCGGCCATTCCATCAAACAACATCATTATTAAAGGCGGGTGCTGTTTTGTATGACAATCCAGTGACAAGGATGCCTGCAGAGCCAGCCCAACGTTATGACATCACTCGCACCGTTGAGTATAGATTTGTGAAAACTTACAAATTTGCACTGTTCGAGTGTTGTCGTTGTGTTAGAGAGAGTAAATGTCACGAATAAATTTGACATTAAACATAATCCAAGTTGAAGTGTTATGTCATTTTCAGCCCTCTTTTTGGCATCTGCATTTGGTAGCTGGTCAAATTGACAAAGACCATGCAAAATAATGTAGTATTTTAATTCCACAGCAGAGAAAGGTATGCAGTCTAGGGAAAAATATCGGTATTGGTATCGGTTATCGGCCAAATAAATTTTAACATGTCGGCATATCGGATATCGGCCAAAAATCCAATATTGTGCATCCCTAGTGAAAACAAAGGACAGCTGCTAGAATGGTGCACGTAAAAATATCTGCCTCACTGGATAAAAACATGCCTGTATTTAGTACAACTTAGCTTGTTTGCAAGGAGTCACTTCTGACTTAAGCTTAATTGGTGGCTACCGTACTAACAGCAACTGGGAGAAAACACTGCACCCACCTATATGGAAGATCTTAACATTAACACAAAGCTGATGAACTGGAGAGAGTTAAGGCAAAGATACGCACCCTTACACCCTTACACACTTGGCTCGCATGCATTACTAAATCCATAAAGCAGTGTCCCATCAATCCCCTTCACTCCCGCCGCATCCCTCTGCTGAAGCCAAACTATTACAGATGCGCAGGGGCATTTATCAATGAACGAATAGGTGCGTAAAGAGAGGGGAACACACACAGACAAAGAAAACTGATAAAAAGAATAAGGGAAAGTGTTAAAGTAAATAAAAAAGGAGGTAAAAACAATGGAGGAAAGCACAAACACATCTTGCATGGGGAGTGAACAAAATAAGGAAAGACTCAGCTAAATGCTTCAATATTTATCTGTAGATGGATAAATATACATTCACCACAAAATGGATCTAACTGCAACATGACATGGCCACATACATAAAGTTTCAAGTTTGCTGTGCACTCAGACAGATGAAGAAAGCTTCACTGAGTCGCTGCCAAGCAGGCAGCATTCACACAAGCTTCTCTTTGACAACCCCTTTGTATGTACGTCTAAGAAATGTATTGAAAAGAATCATCTTGGGTTTTGGTCCTGCATCTAACATAAGTGGCAGCTTTTAATGAGGCTGCTGTCTTTTTTTATTGAACAAAGAAATTAGGTGGAAAGATGAGCAAAAGATTTTCCATCTCATATGAACCACGCAAAGTTTAGTGACAGTTTCTCATTGACAACTCTTGTAGTTTGATTTGGCTGAAGTGTTCTGTGAATGAGGTCATTTGTTGAGCCTCCAAAAGCTGGTCAGACAAGCAGTCACATAAGGACGTCCAGCACTGACTTTCACCTGCTTTCATGCAAGTGCTAGCTGGCTGGCCACGCACTGAGCATGCATGCATTGAATACACACAGCCACATGAATGATGACACCATAAATTTAATTTAAAGTAATTACATTGGCTTCTCACTACAAGGCTATAGCACTTCCTCTATGGCGTTTGCCAAGATCCTAAATAAATCATGCAGAAAAATACATTCTCCAGGTACAGTGTGCACTTCTCAAGTCCACACACAGTGAAATGCATGCAGCCGTGTGTCACTGAACAAAACCTGGCTGACCATTAATGTCGAAAAATAAAAGTCTATATTATTGAACAGATTAGAGCATTGTGGAGAATTGTTGTAAAGCTTTGAACTGATAGGGTGAACAGCAATAACTCTTCGGCACTCCCACAGAATTGCAATAAATGTAGTCCCCTATTTTTAGTAGCTCTCTGATTATGATGTGTGCCTATCTGAGTGCAGGCAGCCAGCACTTTGTCACTCACTGTGCGTTCTGAGTGCTGCGCATTGCCGTGGACCTGGCAACAGTGCTGAAGCAGGCTTTCCATCCACGTTTCAATTGCAAACAGCAATAAAAAATGTGTTCAGAAACAAGCAGTTTTCCATAAATAATACTTTCCCAATTTCCCAAGCCGCAACATTTCTGCACTGTTTCCCACACTACTCATAATTGTTGCAGTTGCACATTAGCGAAATTCATCCAAATGGTACAAATGCTCCACTTATTCACTGAAATATACTTTGTAACAATACATTTATTAAAGTTTCTACACCTTCCACTCATCCAATGCCTTCTCCTGTAAAGTTGCAGGGAGCTCCACTCTCATTCAAGATTGCCAACACTAGGCGCACCACTCTGTCAGGCAGTCAGTGAAGCTCATCCACCCACAGAGACTACAGTCAGCACAGAACTGACAGCATTACGTGACTGTGCACAAAAGGAGAAGTCCTCAGGAGCTCAAACATGATGCATCATTCATCTGAGAAGTTACCCTGCGCAAAGATTTCCTCTGCGTGATCCAGACCTCTTACTAAGGGATAAAGGTAAGTGGATTGACAATGCATAGTGATTAATAGTGGTCAAATCTGCTGTTCAAGCAAAAGTGTTGTAAAAATACATTTTAATGTTTGCATCTGCATGGATGTGTGATTCATGCAATCATAATTAGCAAAACTCCTGCAAACAAACTACTTGAGCACATTCCTTTGTCATTTATTCCCATGCATACTGTAAATTATATTATTTACTGTAACATAATTTATTGTGCTGGGATAAAAATAAAAAAAAAGAAAGGAAGGGGGGCGGGGGGGTTACCTTTTTCAAAGCTGACATTCTGGGTGGATCCTCCTCCCACGAAGCCCGCTCACATGCTGAGGTCCCAAGCCAAGTTTGATGGGTGCGCAGATCTTAACTCACCCCTGTGCTGCTGATCCTGAACCATGAGGCACCTGCTTAGTATTCTCATCTCGCTTCCACCAGGTCCTACAGCTGGCATGGTGTGCGCAAGCCCCAATGTCATGCTGTTACAGGTTTCCAACACAGAGGGCGCTGTAGCTTAATAAAGCGCTCTCCAGGAACAAGCGTAGGCACTTTAAAGCAACTCATTTGAGCTGCTTTTTAATTTTATTATTAAAGTTGAATTCGCCATACATATAAATACTTGTCTTTGATTACGTATGCACATATTATTACTTCAAATATATTAAAATGCCCCCTATCCAGACAGTTTTCTTGTGCAATACCTAAAATGTTGTATTAAGGAAATAAAATATATATGCCGATTTAAAGAAAAAAGTTAATTTATCTAGGCGTAGTATTACAAGAAACCATTAACCGTTTTTCTTTATTCTGTATTTTAAGTCTACTTTAAAATACGACTAACTCAAAGTTCGTAGTAACGGGTGCGCATGCGCAAAGCTGCAACTAACTCTTCCGGGTCATAAGTCATTCGGACTAATGTCAAAACATCTATGATTTACCCATTATATTGTTTCAATGGAGTAATGTTTTTACGCCGATTCAAAGACTGGTTGTAGGTGATTCAGTCTGTCGTTTTATTTGGGAAGGTTTGGCTTTTATCTGTATAAAAATCAAACTGCTTTAAATTAGTTTAAATCTGAATGGGGCTTGGCATAAGACTAATTGCTGTTTGTTGGTGCTGGTGCAGACCAGCTTCAAAACAGTTGTCTAATCTGTAGAGATGCATTTGTCGATAATTATATGGCTTATGTAATCCGCCGAAATGTTATGTCGTAATATTTTACCTTTTGTTGTATCTGATGTAGAACGACACCGCTAATTGTACCGTTTTGCCGCTAGGTAACTAGCTTGCTATCATAGATAACAGAAAGCTTACTAGCTTATACGTGCTTATAGTTGTTTGAAACGCTAACATTTATGTCTAATTCGCCTCAGATCAATAGGATATACTGCTATGGCAAACAGAAAACAAGGTGAGCCCTAGGTGTTGTTCACAAAAATTACTAAAACGTGTGTAGTTCAGCTAACTCGCTAATGCTGCAGCTTGTTTCACGGTAACTAGCTTTTGTAAACAGATGCACGTGTTGGACTATTTTGTTCCACGAAAAGATATCGCGATAGTTAAGAATGTTTTGATGAATACCTTAGTTTAAAAATAGTTTACATTCTTGTAATGTTCAAATGAATATCGATCATAACACTATTTAAAGATTTACTTAGTATAGGAATTGCAACAATATGTATTAGCATCCTCATAATTTACCATAAATAAGTGGTAAAATCAAATAATTTAGAAGAAAAATAGATTTTAATTACTACATTTGTTTGATTTTTTATTTTAAAGTGTTTCAGTCAAAAGTCCTTAAGAAGCTCTATCCTGTCTCTTCCACATTGAGGAAAGAACAAAGTCCACCTCTTTCTGCAGAGGCTAATGCCAAAACATCAAGTGTAAACAGAAAAGCATGTGAACAGGACACTGTGGGTAAGACCACATTAGCACTGTAAACACAGTGACACATGCTTGCTAATGATTTTAATTCCATTCCAATTTCTTTGTGTCCTGTTTCCTCCAGGAGATGCAGGAAAGAGTCAAAATGCAGCCAGTGCACGCCCTCGGATGTACACAGTTCTACCTCCTCCTCCGGACTATCATATAAATCTGGATAAATCTGTTTCACTTCCCCAGCTTAAAAGCATAAATAGTGATGAGGATCCAGTTGGTGAGACAACCATAAAGTTTTTATTTTATAGACTTGAGCTTTGCACCATTTAGCTAGCAGAAATTTACGATCCGCATGGTTTATTTCTCCATGTTGGCTCTCCTCAGTGTTAAATACTTCATGATCCTCGTTGCAACTCCAGTAAAAAGCAAATGTACATTTAGCATGAATTTTATTTCAACTGAGGAGGAATTGAATGCAGTGCAGATAAAGGTAACTTGTGTCTTTTATTGACCTGTCGTTCAAATATGTTCTTAACCTTAGAGTACTTTATAATTTTTACATTGTTTTTTAGACTGACTAGTGAGCTTCTAAATGGCAAGTTGAGAATTTTATTGACATGCAGATTTGTTTTTAAATGGCTGAACAAATTATTTTCTATTGATGTGCGTCTCTTAAAAGCTCACATTTTAAAATCCCTGGTTGTACCCATTATCTTCATTAATATTTGCCTCATTTTATGTATTCGACTAATTCTTATTTTAGTAAAATGAAATATATTTGTTGATTTGCTCAAAGTATTGTTTGAGATTACTTACTGAAATTAAAGATTAAATTAGAGAAGTTGACCTTGGCTTTAATGGTTATTAACTGAGCATGATTTTTTTGTATTTTTACTACCCTTTGAGCCTTTAAGACCCCATCGCAGATTAACGTTTTAAGACAAATGCAACAAGTTAAGGAGGGTTTATACTCGTTCTGTATGAGCAAATTATAAAATGGCTAAAGTTTGGTTTAACTTAATCAATCGACACAACAATATATAACAAAATGTTTACATATGAAAAACAAGTAAATAATATTTGTGTACAAACTGAAAAACGTTATTGACTTTGTAGTGTAATTAATCCACCAAATGCCATGCACTGAAGAAAACATTTTCATATTTTATTTGATTTAAACTAAAATGAGCAGTGGTTTCTGATGTTTCCCTCAGTTTTCTAATCATTTGCTCTCATTCTTTTAGCTTTTAGTTTTTTTGTTTTGTGGTTGTTGTTGTTGTTGTTGTTGTTGTTGTTGTTGTTGTTGTTGTTTTGGTTTGTTTTAACTGTCCATCATGTTAAGGAGAGTGAAGATGCAGCCGAGTACAGAACAAAAAAGACTGTGTTCCTGCTTTTGTTGTCAATGATTAGGTGCAAATAAATAATAATATGGATATTTATTAACCTTAGCTTCAATTTGATGTAAACTGCCTTTAGAGATATTCTTACAAAGAAAATTATTTCAAGCACTTTAGACGTTTTGGATTTGATAACTTCCTTCAGAAACTGACGTTCACACCAGTTGATTTTGTGGATTAGAGTGCAGACAGCTTCAGAGAAGGGATATGTAAATATAGGATTCTGTTGCAAAACCTGCAGTTTCTCAGTCTTTGAAAGATCGTCAAGTTTTAAATGCACGTTTTTGCCTTTTCCTTTATCCCCCAATGTGCCACACACAGGTTGTTCTTTTGACTGTGTCAGCAAACTCTGATTTAGGCTGATTACTCTTCAAAATATTTAGTGCACATGGAAACTATCAAAGATTAACTATAACTTTATCATTTTATAACAGTTTGCTCTCTGGTTGCTGGCAGGTGAAAGCGTCCACTGTAGCAATGATGAAGCGGATGAACAAAATGAACAGAGGAGAAGGAGGAGGAGGAAGAGGAAGAAAACTTCTATTCAGGACAATGGGAAAGATGAGACGCCATCGAATGAGTCCAGCGTCGGTCAGAGTCAGGTACCTGGAGCTGAGGGGGAATGCATGAGCAAGAATAAGAAGAGAAAACAGAAGAAGAAAAGGCACAAAGAGAAGCTGAAGGCCATGGGTCTGATGCGCAGGGCTGCTCCTCTGGACTTCACGTACAATAAAGATAAAGAGGAGGAGGACGAGGAAGATAACGAGAGCAGAGCTGCCGAGTTATCCGACTTCCTGAGAACAACAAAGGAAATCTACATGTCGGACTGTAAGTATCAACCACGTGTTTTGGATCATGAGTTACTTCACATGCACATACCAAATGCTCAAATACATGTTAAATAAATCCTAAATGATGTTCACAGACTTAATATTGAGTTTTGCAAAATGCTAAAAATGTAATGTCTGATGACAACTCCAAAAAAAATGTGTTTTTCTCACCAGTATTTACTCAAAGTATTTAATACATAAACCATTTTAAAGTAGCTTGAGGTAACTGCTTTCTTTAAATTCAGGTTACATCTGTTGAAATTAGCTCATGTAATATCAGTAGCTTCATTATCACACATCAGATTAATTTGAGTTAAAAACATGACATATTCTTCAGGTTGGTTTAGACTAGTGTTTAAAAAGCCAAATGTTCAGAGTTAATTATTAGTTGAACTAACAGTGAACTTTCATTAAATACATTATATATGTAAATTGTCAAATAGAACTCAACAGTTCTGTATTTTTCATCTCTGTACATTGTTGATATAATTATAGAAATGTACATGTGCTTGGTGAATGTAATGTAATAATTTGTTTAGTTTTTCTTCTGCTCATAAATAAATGCGTCTGCCGCAGCGTCATTTTAAGTTCAGCTGAGCCAGATGTTGGTGGCGGCCGGTGCGTTTGCTTGACCGGGTACAAAAGAAGAAATCAAATAAACGAGGAAAAATTAAAATGACATAGTTTTGCAACGTATGAAATCCATAGAAGAGATCTGCTTCATTATCCAGATTATTTCTTGCAGCCCAAGAACAATATTGCTTCTGCGTGCAGAAATCAATGCCTTTCTTCAGTCTGTAGGTTTTTAATCAAGGCTTCCCAGAGAAACAAGTTCATTTAGCTCCAAGCTGTACTTCAGATCAGCTGATTATTTCAAGGCTTCACCAAGTGAATAATTCATAAGGGCTGTAAACAGAAAATAAGTGGAGGAGATATAGCTGCAGAAATGCATCTATTTATGGAGGAGTACAAAAAAATCCAACTGCCATGCTGCGTCTCTTTCTTGTGGCTTTATGTGTAAAGAAAGAATACTTTCACAACTTTTGACAAAGATGGGATGAAGACAGATGTTGGCTTAATATGTCAGAAAGAAAAAAGGATAAGATGTGTGCATTTTACAAACTAAAACTCATGAAACGCACAGTTTTATTTTTATCTGTGCAAAAAAAACCTAATTTTTTACACATTTTTCCTGAGGTTTTTTTTTTCCTCCATGAAATATTGATTTTTAAACCAAGAAACAACTAAATATACTGTAAAGTTTTAGTTCTTATAGCCAAGCGTCATGGTTTAAGTAAACTGATAAAGCACTTTTGACTCAAAATATACGTAGTTATTATTTCTAGATTTTTTTTTTCATTAAAAAATGTGTGTGTACAGTGTTGTTAAGAATAGTTATAGAATTTATCAAATGTGGCTCAAGAATATAATTGTAGCAAATCATTTTAAAAAGCCTTTGTTGTATTATTTTAAATAAAAATAACATGTAAACTGCTTAATTATTTAAATATATTTAAATTATAAACTCAAAAACCTTTATTATTATTACTTTGCGTTTTCTTTAAATAATGATAGTCCCTAAAACGTCTTGATTGCAGCACTCAGGAAATCGACGTCTTATTTTACAGCCCATCTCATTTCCTCTGTTCTCCTCCAGCCTCGCTGCCTGCAGGTCGGAGCCCTCACCTGTCCGCTGCAGTGGATGCTCTTCTACTCAGCATAGAGAGTGGAAACCATCCCGACTGTGCCCTGAAGCAGCTCTACTGTCTCAAGGCCTTTGTTCAACATAAAGACACAAACAGTCTAGAAAAGGCACTGGTGGAGCTCAGCGACAGCCCCTCCATGTCCACAGGTGATTAAGAACATTTCTTTCAGGAAGTGTTAGGCGTTTTTAATGGTAATAGATCGTTTGACGGTTTCTGCACAATGATGCTCCATTGATGTGGAACCTTCCCCAAACACTCCACTGACCTGTCCCTGCAGGTTAATACTTGCCTGGGTCTGCCCTGGCTTGCCTCCTGTTCTGTTTGCACAAACATTAATATATTTTGCTCACCTGAGCATGCCTGTTCTTACTTGCCTTCATCAGACTTTACCTGTGCTTACCTGCCCACAGCCGTTTAAAACTGGGGTTGATCATAATTCATCTCACAGGTCAACTCCACCATTAGCTGGCGGACATGTTTCGTCTTGCAGCCAAAACATTTCTTGCATCCCCAGACACCCTCGCTCCCTCCTGTGTGTACATGTTATTTCTGGCATGTGTTGTATAACAGGATGAAAAGATCTTGACAGTATTACACGCAGATAGGCGTTCGTTTGAAAGCCCGCCAGAGGTCTTGGGCTGCTGTCATGTTGATGGCCACAAAAGTGACGCTTGGGTATGAAAGCAGAGCTCACACGAATCCTCTCCACCCACCTGCTCAACATCTGCCTCAAAACTTTTATTTGTCCACTCTCGTCACGTTACGAGTCAAATTCCATTCTTTTTTTTATTTCTGGGCCTGACAGCAGATTGTGGATTTATCCTACTACAGTCGGTCCAGTTCAACAAGAGAAAAGCTTATGAATCAGTATTTTCTGTAAGGCTGTTCGAGTTCTCTTTGCAATGCCAGCATTTTTAGTTTTAGGTTTCACATCCCATGAAACGCTGCAATAAAATATTCCAGTGTCAGTTTTCTCTTAATTTTATGCAGCCTATAATTTTGTAGCATCTGACTCGTAGCTGTGGATCAAAGCAGTTTATAAAAATGTAAGATTTAATTAACATTCAAATTACAGTTCAGCCTTATTTGAGCATCATGCTGTACTTCAGTGTAACCCAGATTCTCTGCCATGCAGGAGGTAATCCAGGTGCTTTTAAAGCTTTTGGAGTGAATTTTCCAAAGCTCTCCAACAGATTTTCTTTATGCATATTCATCCTAGAATCTTTTTTTTTTTTATGAATAGCGCTGAATAGTGGAGAGACGACATTAATTTGTTTCGCTCATTTTTACATTCTACGCAACACAAAGTGGAACTTTTCAAGAACAAGTTGAGTAAGATTCAGAGAATGTGTGTTAATTACCATATTTTCCACCGGATAAGTCACATGAGTCCAAATATGTCTAATAGGAAAAAAGCATAAATATGTTGCTTCGCCATATAAGTCGCATCTCTTATGCGTCACCGTTGACACGTCGCATTTGTTGTGCGTCACCACTGACCACCTGGAAATGTGGGCCAGTGTTGTGCCAAAAATCGATTGCCTGCCAAATAGCAGCCGCAGGAGCGTGCACGGGAGGACTTTAACAAGAATTTAACAAGATTAACACTTAAAAACAATTATTTGTTTGCTCGACTTTATAGTAAAGGTGTGTCTCAGTTGAACTTCTCCTTAATAAATACACTAATGGTCAAATCAGCTGGATTTCGCCGGGGCGGCACAGAGAAATGAAGCTGATTTGACGGTTGCTCCAGGCATGATCCCAGAGATGGACAGTAGTGGTAGGCTATGGCAATCCAATTGTGTCACTAATAGCCACTTTTACCTATTACGTAACACGACATGCTATACTGCTCAAGTGCCATCTAGTGGCTGAAAGTGGTAGTGTTCAATATTTTCCATGTCAGAATGAATGAAAATGGTCATATCTTAGTCCAAAACTGGGTTATAAATATGAGGAAAAAACATAAGTGACTTCGGTGTACAAGTCACAGGGCATGCAAATTATGCAAAAACTGTGACTTACATGCTGAAAAATATGGTAGTGTGTAGGAGGCAGATTTGAAGACCTGCTGCAAATACAACAGCAAGTCTTTGCTGAAAACAGCAAGCGTTGTTGTGTTGCCAGCTGTAACTGAAGTGTTGCATTCTGTCTTTTTGTGTTTTAGAAGAAACGACTGCAGTTGTTTCGCTTTTCAAATACTGGATCACGGACATTCTTCCTTTGCAAAGAATTCAGGAGACAAGACGCTCTACTGCATCCCTTTAGAAGTGTCAGTCAAGGAGATGCTACTGAAGGACCGTTTCTGCTAGCTCTGAAAACGCTGAATGTTTTTTATTAATATGTGCACATTACATGTTTATGTGTTTGACATTTTGTGTTTTGCTTGTAAAGAATTATGTGTGCCTAACGGCTTGTAAAACTAGTGAACCTCGACTTTTGGTCTCATTATATCATCAAAACGTCCACTCTCACTCATCCAACAGTGGGAACAAAATGGCAACGCACTGTTGTTGATCAACAGTTTATGCCAACACCCCCTGGGGACTTGGGAGCTTAACCCTCTGCATCAGCAGCAAACCCGTCTGCAGCTCAGGACAGCTATTTAAACGCTATTTCAGTAGCTCGGTGTCTGGGCGAGCAATTATCTCAGCGGGATGGTGACAGTTTGGTGACCTGAGTGAGAGCTTGGTGATATTTATCAAATCCAGAGAAGCAGTAGTTCTAAAAATGGGATGCACCAGTAGACAGCAGCAGGTTACACCAACAGAGACAAATCTGTAGGTGTAATATGGACCATTTAGCACATGGGCTACCATCTCTGGACTCAATTTTTAGATGGACATCTAATGGGCTGGATCTGGTTGATTATTGTGACATTATCCAGAGGAGAGAATAAAGGCCTGGTGTGTGGCATTATTATACAAGATCAGAGAAAGGTGATATTTTGCAGATTAATGCACAGTTTTTAGGCAAACTAAAGGCTTGAATTATTTCAGTGCAGGAACAATTGTTGAAATATCTTAACAGTATTATTACAGCCAAGTTCAAACTGTGATCTGCCTTACATTTTCCTAATGTTGAGTTATTTGATTCAGTTGCATGCTCTCCAACACCTATAATGGTGACCATAGTGCTTTAAATAAACACCATGACTAAGACAAAATGTACCGTTTTGTTTTGGGGTTTGTACATATTCAAATGTATTAAACTTTATACAGCCCGACAAACAAATTACTGTGGGATAATTCCTTAATAAACCATGACTGCGTAACTTTTCCAAGCATCATTTTGTTGTTCATTTATTTAGGAGAAAGTTGCACCCATATACTCTGACACATTGAATTTCATAGGATAATGTGAAATGTACTTCTAAAACAAATCAACATTAGGTTTTAGTGCTGTAATCAAAAGAAGCCAAGGGTTTTATTTTATCCAACAAATTAAATTTTGTCACCAATAACGTCTCAACTTGGCCTGTTTGTTTGTACCAGACATCATTTTGAGTTAAATGTCTAACGGATGAGTAAATTTCACATTTGCCTGTTTTATGTTATTGCATCGCAGTCATTTCAATGTGGTTTTCTCACGCGCACACAACCTTCACCGTGATATTCTTCCTTTAGCATTAAACGCGGTATGCATTGGAAAATGACTTTGCTGCGTTATTATCAGGGTTGGAAAATTACTCGTGGATGCACAAGTTAGGAGGCAGAGCTGGGTCCTATTAATTGAGACGGGAAGATGGTGATTGTTGTCTTCTCTCGCATCCGTGGCCAGAGACGATCTGCACAGCAAAGCTACCCCATTATGAGACTGGGAGCCGAGGACCCGGAGGCCACGGCAGATATTAAAGCTTAGAGAGATTTGCTGAAGAAGCAGAAGAGATCCATCCTGAAGACATCATCGGAATAAACAGGTTTGAATGGATTCCATTGCTTCTGCCTTCAAATGGCTCCTATAAGAGTGGTTAGGATTTATTATTTTTTACTCAATGCAATAGCTCTGAAATGTTTCGTTATGTTTTTTAAACAGAAATGGACATCATAATTATAAAAGTTTATTTTACACATACTTAACTTTGGGTAATACTCCAGTACTATGAACTAGAACTAGTATGAAGTCCAAAATGTATGCCATGCTCCTAAACGCCCACTTTTTTTTTTCTACACTTTGCCCCTTCTGTTGATACAGACATCTTTGTTCATGCGTACCAGCACCTGTAATCCTCTTAGTGTCTTCTCTTGCAACTTTCCTGTTACGTAAAACACCAGATGGAGATGGTATAAGGGCTAACCAGACTGCCCTGCATTAGTCAGTAAAGCAAAGGTCAGAGAAACGACATACCCGGGCAGACCGTCTGTCAGTGGGGCTCCCGGCCTGGGAGTCCAGGGAGGGGAGCTTCAGAAAAAGAGCCAGCAATTTTTCTTTTTTTTTTTTTGGCCTTTAATTCTGATTTACAGAAAATAAGACCATCGTAGAAAGCTCCAAAATGTTCTTCAGACTCCCAAGACTGACTCCTAGTTACATCAGGCTGCTGCAGGTGAGTGGGAGACTCAAGTGTTGTTTTAAAATGTATAGTTCATAAATATGAAAATCTACGTTTTTAAAAATTGCAACACAAAAACTGCAGAGCCCCAACCCCCTTAAATGTGCATAAAGCAACAAGGCAGATGAGATCATTATGAGTTATGATCATTCGTTTGCAAGTTCCTGGCTTTATGGGTTTGCACATAAACAAAAGTGCATGGCAGTTGTTTTCCTAAGCGTTATGCTGCCACATTGCAAACGTGTTTTTTTTTTTTTTTTTCCATTATAACAATTTCAGTTGTGACAAAATGATGAAGCACTATCTCACCATACACTCATAAACCACAATTAGGAGATATTTCCAGGCTGCTGTGCCCGTAATTGTAGAATGGCTTTTATTTTAGCACAGTAGCTGTAGGTATTTTTTTTATTTTTCATAACAATGAGGAAACCCAACCTGTGACAGTCCATTGCTTTGTAAGTAGCAATGAGTCGTTGGTGATTGAGCCACAGGAATTGCTTCTTAACTGCCTGTGACCTGCCTCCATTAGAAACTATGAAGTTTTCATTATTTGCTCCTCTACGTGCTTCATAATTGTCAGACGGAAATTGTCCATGTTGCAAGACAGATGAGCTTTTTGTTTGTCAAAAGAGGCATGCCGGGATTTAGTAAATGAAAAACAAAATGAGTTTTTAATCTCTTCTGGATTGTTGGGAGGGCTTGATGGGGCAGAATATTGTGCTTCGTATCATTTGATGCAGTTGTCTCGTTTCTCTCCTGTCAGACTCAGGCCTACCACAACATGCCTGTGGCGCCTCCAGACGAGAGGACCATGCCTGGTGTGGCTATGCTCCTGGGGGCCGTGGGGATCGGGATGTGTGGCTACAGCTCCAAGCAGTTGGCCCTCCACCACAGGCCATCCACTCGCGTGCTGCACTGGGTCGGCACCCACACCGATGCCGGCAGCATGGGCACAGGAGCCCATGCGCGGAGCCCCTTCCAGGATGTCACTCGTCGAGCTGCTGCCTGCCAGGAGATCCCACCACCCTCCTTCGTGGGGCAGAAATTCCCCTGAAACATGCAACAATATAGTAAATATAGCTTAGTCAGCATTACGGGTTTAGCTTGGTAACTATGCTTTCACTTGTCTAAGATTGAAGCTATGCTGGCCCTTTGCAACAAAGTGGCCCTTGTGCTCTCTAAAGATCAGTAAGTGTGGATACCTTACTTAACTCATGTGTTGGCAAGAGTAATGTGGATTTATGTAACTAGTGCAAACAATACATTCTGCTGGGTTGTATTTACTAAGAGTTTTGAAAGCACTGATTGGGCACTGAGCAATAAGAGTGACTGGATGGAGCTGATGCTAGAACGTCCCAAAGACAGTTGATTATCGTGGCCTCACTGAGGTGCCGGTTTGGATTTGGGGCCATTGTGCATTTTTTAAATTTCTGCTACAAAAAGTGACAAAAAGTGATCCGGATGGTTCGCCTCCCCCTTCTCTGTGACCCTTACCAAGACCAAAAACCACATAGGTGCTTAATCAGCTCTTTCATGCCCATGACCAACTAATTTCCTCTAAGAAAGAAGTGGATTGATCTTTCAACAGTCCTTGGCATTTGTAGTAGGATACTGGTTGATATTTTCTTTTTACATCTACAATAAGACATGTTAAAGCTTGCACAGCAACACTTTGCTGGATTGTGAGTCCTAATTGGCATGTTTGACACGCTGTAGGAATCTGTCAGACAAGGTAAAGACCAAAACCTGTGTCCTGCAGGGATTAACCTTGGTGGAAAATCACTCCTGGCACACACACATACATGTACACACACATTAAGCTAATCTGGTATTAGCGAGTCGAGGACCTGTGGGAAGCAGACACTTCCTGTGCAGCCAGACAATGTGCCGTTCCCCCTGCAGCGTCCACCTTTCTTCTCAGAGTCACAGGTGGGGTTTAAATTGACGGTGGTGTTTTCATTTCCATCTAAAACTAGACGTGAAGCATAAAATTGGGACGTGAGATGTGGCGAGGCACTGAGTGTGGTTGAGAGCGAGCGCTGTGCCTTATTGGTTGCACAGGATTATACTGCTGTATTCTTGGCAAGATTTGTAGCACATGGCACATCTGGGCAAACAACAGGAGGAGGTTTCAAGACTATACAGTGAAGATGGAGAGAAAGTTGTAAGGGTTGTAATCTTGTATTACATAGCCAAAAAGCCAGCTTAGTCTGTCTGCCAAATTGGACAAGTAGTGAGTCTTTCAAGTCCCAACAGAGACTCTCCAGGACACAGACGCAGCGGGTCATCTACAAGACATTCATAATCCATTCAGCAGAGGAGGCGAATGCAGCTGGAGTTAAATGCTGAACAATGTCACCTACACGGGCCAACACCCATTAACAGTTACATGATGGGGTTGTAATGGAAAAATAACGAAGAAAACAAAACAGATACTTGTAGAATCAAATGTGACTCATTTTCTTATGCCTGATCGGAACTACTTTGATTCATCAATTTCACAACTTCTGAATGTCTGAAAATGACATAGTCTGGGCTGAAGGCTGAGTAATGCACCTGACTGCTTCTGATAGATTCTCGTCACACTGCAGTGGAGCAGAGTGAGCAGCGAGCACTGTGGAAACCTACTGATCTCAATCAGAGAGTGAGCTTGTCTCCTTTCTGCAGCCAACCTTCACCCAGCATCGTGGAATTTATTAGAAAATACTGCCACGATTGTGATTTTGAAGGGAAAATATCTGACAACGTGCAGGCTGCTGGAATAAAAATGCGTGGGGAACAACATTTTGAAGGTGCAGCATTCATCTGTCAGCTTGTTGTGTGTTGCACATCAGTGCTCGTCAGTTTGTTAGTCTGCATATTCAAGTTCAGCCGTGTCAAAGGTGTGATTTGTTTGTAGAAGAAATTAATAAATTTGTTGTGGCATTCAATTAATTCTACTGTTGCACTTTAGTCCCAACCGTGGGTCAGTTCATCTCTGCACACACTTGTTTCTTTTTTATTTTTTTAATTTTTTTCCTATTTTTGTACAAAGCAAATAAATGTTTTTTTTTAGTTAAACTCAAGGTTCATGTTGTTTTGGTGTGATAAAGCTTAAGAATACCTTCATCACAGCAGAATTATTAAAAGGAACACCATGCCCCATCATTAAAAAAAAAAAAAAAAACTTAAAAGCCTGATGCTCTCTATATAAAAAAAGATAAATAAAACTTTTTAATCCTGGAGGGTTTATTTTTAACCAGATTTAGTGATTTCTTAAAATTTTTTAGACAAGACTCAAACTCATATTTTCCATCTTTTAAAGTGCAGAAATTATTGGTGCATTCAAAACCAAAAATATGATCAGTATATACATATTTTAGAGTTTGTAATTTGTAAAAAAAAAAGAGAGGAAAAAAGCCTACATCTTTTAATAACAGTCTACTTTTTATTTTTTTCTGTCACACAGTGGGTTTTATAGCTCCATTTGTACATGAAAAACATTTTTACAACATGTATGTAATAAAGTTTCCATTAAAGGTAATGTTTGCATGCAGCCCTGTCACTTCAGGCCAGTTTTCCTAAGTTGTCTACATCATTAAACATATTGTATATTAACACAAAGTTCACAAAACACATAATTAAAACTCAACAAACAGCTCCAAGGACACCAACTTTTTATTTTGGAATAAAAATCTCATTTTGCACAAGCATCCAGAGGTATATTGTGATGTAGCAGATCCTGAAAATCAAATTATGAACGTTAAACAAACATTTGTTTCTTGTAATAAAGTCTCAATTACAGGCTGCACAGTGACAGGAACTAAAATGATTAAAAACTACAGTTAAGGCTCATCACAGACAAATATTTGACCAGCACATGTCAAAAGTTTGGACAAATTTAAAAACTAAAACCCTTAGAGCAAGTGATTAATGACAAGAATAAGCATTTTTGTTTAATGACTAAAAACTACGTCATTAAGGAACGAGCAGCCAGGGTAAATATGGAAATTAAGTTACAGTATTGGAATGTACTGTTGAAGTGTTTTTCCAGCTTTTAATTTTTATTTTTACTTAGCTGAATTATAATTAAATCTGTCAAATTCATCATTTGAAATGGAGCAGACTTTGTTAGAATTTAAATATCCAACATTTCATATCCTGAAGTAATCACCTGAGTGAAGGGCAGAATTTTGGTGGGAAGTTTTACAATAAATAAATAACACATAAATGAACATTTTGAGCCAGTGGAGGTGCGGTACAGTGCGTCAAATGGTAAGTGAACGCGCCAGAAAGCTTCTGGAGCGCAGTGACCGTGCCCTGTGGACACCTCCTGTCCACTGGACATGGACATGGACATGTCCAGAGCTGCTGTGCTGATTAAACCCAGTTTAGTCTTAACAAGAGGAAACACTTGGTTTGGTTTTGATCAGCAAGCGCTGCGGTGGTTCGATCCCCTCTTCATGATGACACGAGCAGGCGGTGCGTCTGCGCGGAGGAGAAGAAAGGAAAGGAGGAGGAGAGTTCCTCAAACAAGCGCAAATCTACAGGTTTCTCACGATTCATTTTACGTTTATAAAAGGTTTGTATCAACTTTTCTAGTTATGTTCATGAGTTTTGACGTGAGGGAACAAATAGTTGCTTCTTTTTTTTAAATCACTTTTTTTGCGCAAGTCTGATTGCGCCTGTGAGGAACAGTTTCGCTTGCGCGTTTGTGGGTCAAGAATCTGACTTGGGAACAGCGAAGTCCCGTTAGATGAACATGTCTTCTTACCAGCTTAAACATGGAATGCCGAGTCGTGCGTTTGCGTCCTTTGCGCATTTTTTGTTTCTTTCCAAAGCTTGATGCGCATTTATGAGCTGTTTGTTAAACGAGACTTTGTTGTTGTTTTGCTCAAGCTTGTGACTTCATCCAGGATATGCAGATGATCATTTTACTACCAAATAAGCACGATAGTAAGTCAGGTGTTTGCTTGTCCTGAGTTGGACCCACTGGATTCTTTCTCAGCTGTAACTCCAGGACTTCACCTCTGTCTGTCTGTAGGTCCCCTCCACTTTTTGATCTGAGCTGAGTGAAAGTGCAACATTTAAGCACCTGCGGGGCCCCATCTGTGGCCCCCACCCTCGTACTGCAGAATGGGCAACTTTTCCACCAAAGACAATCATGGACCCACAGGTAGGTCAGCACACAAACACATGGAGTCCATAGTAAATCCCCTCTTCTGTGTGTTTATTATCACTCGCCTAAAGGCCAAGGTAAAGTGATTGTGATTTTATTCATGTCTGTGTGTTCAAGTGTTGGTCCGTTAGCAAAATATCTCATGAACCATCCATCCAATCGGTTACCCGCTTCTTCCTTTTTGCGTCACGGGGGTCACTGTCCATTTCCAGAAGTCACTGTGGGAGAGGCAAGGAACACCCTGGACAGGTCTCCAGTCCATCACAGGGACACATAGAGACAAACGAGACAAACAACCATTCACTCTCTCATTCACACCCAGTGGCAATTTAGAGTTACCAATCAGCCTAACATGCATGTTTTTGGTCTGTGGGAGGAAGCTGCACTAAAATTAAACTTGCACTAAGTAATTGTTGAATGTTCGTCTATAACTCATTAACTTTTGGTGTCAATTCAAGATGGCCACCATAAGAAATTTACCTTAGCCAAAACAAGAATGGCTATAACTTGGTTATTTTACAGATACTGAGCAAAATTTTGATGCGGTAGTAAATGAGAGTAATTCACAACAAGGTGGCAGGTATGAATGAATGAAAGTCAACTGTAGTAAGACGGAGTACACATGTGTGAATGAGAGGGAAGCTGGTGGAAGGAGCAGAGGTCACAAAGGTGCAGGACTTCAAGTACTTGGGGTCCACTGTCCAGGAAAATGGGGAGTTTGGTAAAGGGGTGAAAAAAGAGAGTCCAGGCAGGATGGAGTGGATGGAGAAAAGTTTCAAGAGTGATTTGTGACAAAAGCGTGTCATCAAAGGTCAAAGAAAAAGTTTACAAGACAGTGGTGAAACCAGCTATGTTGTATAGTCTGGAGACAGTGGCATTGACAAAAAGACAGGAGAAAGAACTGGAAGTGGCAGAAATGAAGATGTTGAGGTTCTTCATAGGAGTAACAAGAATGGATAAGATTAGAAATGAGATCATCAGAGGTACAGCACAGGTTGAACAACTGAGAGATAAAGTTAGAGAGACCAGATTATGGTTTGGACATGTCCAGAGGAGGGACAGTGGGTATATTGGTAGAGGGATGTTAGAAATGCAGCTGCCAGGAAAAAGACAAAGAGGAGATATATGGATGCATTTAGAGAGGACATGGAGGTGGTTGGAGTGAGGACAGAGGATGCAGAGGACAGAAATGGAGGAGGATGACTCGCTGTGGTGACCCCTGAAGAGGGAAAAGCTGAAAGAAGAAGAATAAGAAGGTGGCAGGTGATATGCCTTCCTTTTGCTTGCCTCATTTTTACTGTTTCTTGTTGTATCATATCTAAAACAGTTTCATGTACTAACAAGAATATGATCAGGAAGAGGGTGGGTGGGGAAATACAGGAAGAGCAACTGCATGAAAATTCCCTGAAAAGAGTGGGTGGACGAGGGATAATCATGAAACTGAACGAAACAAGAGGAAGCAGAAAAACTGTATGTGTGTGAGAGAAAGAGTGTGTGTTTGTGGCTGCAGGAATCTTGGCAGCCCTCCTGTGTGTGTTGTTCACTGAGTGGTCTATTCTCCTTGAGTCCCTGTGTGATTCGTTCTGAGCCCGCCGAGCCAGCTTTGATGAATCGGCAGAATTCCCCATCTCAGCACAAGGGCAGCAGATTAATCATAGGAGGCCTAATGTTGTCGGACCCCCCCCCCCCCCCCTCAACACACACACACACACAAACCTTGGTGAAAACACACTCCAAGTCTTCCATATTCAGTCAATCTTTTACCCGGGCACATGGTTGGAGGAGCACATTAAGGTTTGGAATGAAGTGTAGAATCCAGAGGTGGCATTAGAGCATCATTAGACAATCCTGTCATTCTTTTGGAGGAATGTTGGCCTTGCAGCAGGTGGTGCATAACTTTGCAAATGTTCAACTACTGCTCTTACATCACTTGTGAAAAAAAAAAAAAAAAAACGCTCTTAGCTGAAAAGCTTTTGCCCAAACAAGGAAAAGAAAGACAATAAAGATGGAGACTCTATGCCTCATGATTAGCTATAAAGGTGGTATTGTCTTGCTCTGCTGGATAAGGAATGCTGAACCAAAAAGTGGAAATCACTTGTTATTGTGTCAGCTTTGGAAATGTATTGACAGTCCTCTGCAGTGTGTCTGTGTGGGAAGTCTTGGTCCTCTATGTCCAAGTGTGAGTTCCTTAATTTGGAAAAACAAGTGTTGCAGCAGTATAATGAATGAGGAGCCGTGTTACAGTGTTCTTCTCCAGGGTTAAAGTGTGGGTGTTCGGCTGGTCAGTGAGAGCTGTGTCGTTCTGGGCGGATGATGCTTTCTGTGTCAACATGCCATTCGAGTGACGGCCAAACCATTAACTTTTTATTCTCTCAAATAGGTTCTTTTTGATAGCTTTGTGTCTTTAATAACAAAGGAACAACTTTAAAGCATAGCTGTGTTACTCATGTTGCTTTGAATCGGTCAGAACTCTGCTGATCATTTATTTTATCCACTCTTCCCAAAAGGTTCAGTCTACACCACAGAGTGTACCATAAAGTGTTGGTTTTTTCTATTGGTTAGAAACTCTAACCATGCAGGGATTGTGCCAATGTGTTTCTTGGTCATTAGAGGAATAGGAAAAAGCACCAAAATGAATACCAGTAAATCCTTTCAGGCCATTCAGGACTAGTGTCTTCTGTGTGAGCTGAGCTGGGAAACATTATCAGTAGTAGGGGTGTAAATCACCAGCTTTACCACAATACAATATTATATCACTTTGTTTGTATGACAATATATTTCTCCATATCACAAAGTCTGTCACGATATGATTTCGATTCTATACTATTTACAAGTCTGCGATCGATATATTGCGATATCAAATGCTCATCTCATTTACATATAAATAAATTTACAAAAATGTCCGTAGTGATGGCAACTCTGTCTACAGTAGTAGCTCACGTTTAACTTCATTTTTAACTTATTTGTACAGTCTTGGTATACAAGTTTCACTGAAGTGCTGCCTTGATGGTAATATACATCTCGTCTCCAAAGTATGCAGTAGTTCACAAAAGCAGTTATTTTCAACAACACTGTAAGGTCTCATATCTTTACAAATGAAATATGACATGGCACCTGTGATACTCGTTGCTCTTTTCGAACTGTTGTTCAGCTTTTGTGGGAAGAAACTAGTCGAAGGCGGCGTGGCGTCTGACACGGTGATGCTGGCAGAGCTAACATGGCTATCAATGCCGTGTTTCTTCGTCAGTTGAACGGCCAAATTTGTTGTGTTTCCCAAGTATTTTATCTCACACTGGCACATTTTGCATATGGCATGTTTTTTTCTGCTGAGCCGTCATTCTGTCAGAATCCAAAAGATTTCCACAGTGTTGATTTGAATCCAACAGGTGAGCGAATTTCATCATCCGTGTTTTCTGTCTCGGCTTCCATGCTGCTAAGGCGGCTGCAGAGCACAATCGCGCATGGAAATGGTGACAAAGACTTGCCTTGGGAATTTCAAAATAAAAACATATTTTAAAGATGATATGAATCAATGTTTTTGTTTTGCTATGATGTAATTGAATCATTAATCATTTATTCAATGTATCGATATGGTTTGATGTATTGTTACACCCCTAATTGTTAGATATTTTCCTTTACTGTTAATAAAAATGTGCAGTATGCTGAAGAAAAGAAAAACCCGCGCAGCATAATACATCCTTATGTTTAATGTTTTTTTTTTCCTCTAGTGTCCCATTTGGAATCCTTCCACACTCCACCTTCTTCTCCACAGAGTGATGGACCTTGTCTCGTTCCCAGTGTTCCTCATCTTCCACCTTCCACAGCAGCCTCAACTGCATCCCTGCCTCCCACACAAGGCATCACTATCAGCTGGAAGAGATCATCGCAAAGCACTTCCAGCACCTCCAGCACTTCCATTCCACCTCCTAACTGGAGTCCTCCTCCACCAGTCATCCCAAACAGCTCCACGGTTGTTCCTGGAGTGAGCGTGGTGCACAAGAAGACAGGCAGTACCGTGGCAGGCAGAGTGGAGCCTTCTTTAGGAAGGAATGGGGGTCTTCCGACGTCTTCAACCCATACTTCAGTCTCCCATGTAAAAAGTGTGGCTGTCAGTCCTGTAAAAAGCCCTTCGCCGGTGTGTAGTGAGTCACCTGCCAGCAGCTGTTTGGAGCAGAACTGCAAAGAAGGAGACAAAGGTCTGAGTCAGACTCTGCTACTTGGTGATGAAAATAGGGACAGCCAAAGTGAGGAGCTGGTGGAACTGTTGGAGGAGTGCAGGACCACACTGGGTATTTCTGCCAATCAGGACGGGACCACAAATTCAACAGGCAAGAAGGAAACTAGTTTGCAATAGTTGTTTAATTATTTTTAACGTTCTACCTGTATATGCATGCAATGGCCTCTGACATTTTTATTCTCCTCTCAGAGATACTGACACATCTGCTGACTGAAGTGAAAAGTTTAAAGACTACTTTACAGGTGAGACGATTTTGCTTTTCCATTGATGACCTCATGCTTTTTGATTTGCGGTACGCTCAGTAAATCCTTCCACCAAAGAGAGGCTACACTGACAGAGAAAACATTTCAGTTTTCTATAGTAAGTTTATCAGAATCCATAGTCATACCTCTTACATATGACAAAAATATAGTTTCACATGAAAACAGGAAAGCATACACAAGTCAAGGTAGCACTGATGACCTTTCAGCTAAGAGATAACACTAACATGGACATCCTGTCACCCCAACTCCCATCTCACAATAAATAAACCCTGGAAACAGCCTGTTGGGAGCAGCAGCTTTACTGATTAAACTTCTTCCTGCGCTCAGTCTCCCTTAGAACCTCAAAAGAGAAAAAACCTCTCTGATTTTATCTTATGTGAGATAGTGTTTGTGTTTTAGATGCTAGCAGGACACCACTTGTGTAGGACATTAAACCTGAAAGTCCAATTTTCTCCTAAATACTGTCCAACTATTTGGAACCAAGCTCAAGTTGAACAATGTCTTGTGAGACTTCCTCAGTCCAACTTTTTAAGCCTTCCGTGTCTTTTTGTTAGGAGGGTGATATTTTTTGGTAATTTCCTGTCACTCACTCGTTCCAATTCCTGACCCTCCCTTTGGAGGGTTGTAGCTCCGAGCTTCCTCTAGAACTGCTGCTCATTATGACAGCTGGACCTGATCCACAGTGTGCTTTTGTCCCCATTCCTTTGTCCACATTTTGTTAGATTTGTTAAACAATATGTACATATCTGATGCAAATGTCAATTTAGAAATCTGCCTCCTGAACTCTACATCTCAGCTTCTTTCATTATTTCATCTCTCTCATAAGCTTTCCCACATCCTTATAAGGGGTTTAGAAATATAATCCTCGCACAGGTCAGCTAACATCAGACAGACTGTAGTGCAGCCCTGAGCGGGGGCCGTGTGGTGGAAATTGGGCAATTCAACACTTGTGTTTACACAAGAAAGCAAAGCTCAACATTATAAACTCTCTGTCTGCTCAGCCATTCTGAGAGTCTTTTTGTAGAAAATGGAAGTTCACTGCAGAGGAGGAGGTCTGCATTCAGTTGTCCGGAACACAAGTCTTGTTTTGTTGTGTGCTGTGTTGTGAGCAGAGGTGGAAAGAATACTGAAAATTTGTCCTCAAGTACAAGTACTGTTACACTGCTTAAATTGTACTCAATTACAAGTAAAAGCACTGTTGTTATAAAACATACTTAAGTAAAAGTATAAAGTACTCTTCTCAAAAACTACTTCATATTAAGTGCTTTTTAACCAATTGATGTTTCATTGTGTTGTCAATTGAAGACATTCAGTTTGATTTACTGTATTTAATTCAAAGCACATTTCTCAGAAGCTCTGTCTTATTTTAGTACCAGGCAAACTGATGGCAGTGACAATATCTAAGATCTTTGCATATTTAGCCAAACTAATAACCCACACATACAAACAATAAAACAGCAATATCATACAGGTAAAACCTCGTATACTGCAATATGTTTTTTTGAAATTAGATGCTGAAGTCTTGTAAGCTGCCATCACCGTCTCCTATTCACCCTCTGTACATGAAACATTCCTCCAGGTACAGCCACGGGCACTCGTCCTCAGCCTTTACCTCATCATTTTCTCTGTTGACAGAGTTGTCCTCTGTCTCTATTTTGTCTTTTTCTCCAAATCTTTGGTCCATAAATGACTCTCTACTCTACGGAGTTGTCCTTTGCTTACGTCATAGGTAATTGGTGCGTTCTTGATCTGAGAGCCTTGTTGGCTACAAAGATGCAGATGAACGGTTTGAATATTAATTCAAATTGTGGCCGTACCTATAGAGACTTCTGAATTTAAAAGTAGTGAAGTAGATTACATGGTCTAAATTGTACTTGTATGAGTAAAATTACACACTTGAAGTACTCCCAAAAATCTACTTAATTACATTAATGTGAGTATTTTTAACTTGTTATTTCTTCCCCTGGTTGTGAGGTAGTGGGGGCTGAGAGTTGCAGCTGAATTAACCGACCTCGTGTTTTTATTAGAACATAAGACAGAAGACTAAAAATGTAAGGATTTATGCAAAGCCTTTCTTTTCCCTTTGTGTGTCTGTTTTTGTCAGGAAGATCAGCTGCTCCTCGGCACAAGAATTCCAAAAATGATAAACTTGACAACTTTTGCTGAAAATGTTGTTTTAGTTGCAGTGTAGTTGATAAAATATAGGATTTTGTGTGTGTTTTTATCTTTATGTTCCCATTGCTGAAAGGCAAAGGTGGTTAATTATGTTTCGGTCTGGGTCTGGATGTGCAATAGTTATCATCGTATTGCCAACTACAACAGATTAACTTTTGAACCAAAGCAATTCAAGATGGCTGCCACTCTGATCTCAGAAAACAAGTGAATGAATATAACAGACAACGTTATAGATGTTGCACTAAAATAGTGGTTGAGCATCGTTCTTAACGCATATTTTGAGCGCATTAGATTGCTCCACATTTTTGCTTCAGTTTGTGAGCAAAATACCTTTTTAAACATCCATCCATCCATTTTCTTGACCCACTTTTCCTGTTTGGGTCACGGGACAGCTGGTACCTATTTCCAGCTGTCACAGTGACCGATGCAGGTCGTACGTCCATCACAGGGATACAAGACAAACAAGCATCACACTTAGGGGCAAGTTTAGAGTTACCGTTTAACTTATGATGCATGTTATGTGTCTGTAGGAAGAAACAGGTGTGCAGAAAACCCAACATGCACTGGTAGAACATGCAAACTCCACGCAAAAAGGCCAGGAGGCAAACCTGTGACTTTTTAGATGTGAGGCAACAGCTTTAATACTAACACACCACCTTTCTTTGAAATTCAACTGATTTTTATGAAACTCTCTGAAAGTAATAACTGACTGTACAATTTGAAACCGTTTCCTTTGGGATGAATAAAGTTATTCTGATTTTTATACAAAGTGGTCGCAACTTCATCATGTTTTAACATACGATGATCCCAGTTTAAATACGGGCTTGAGAGGCAGTGAGGATTATGCTTTACTTCAAGGAATGCCAGGTCTTTAATCTTTCACGGTTTTTGTGTGACATTAAGTCCAGTTCAATGCAAAAATATTCATTGAGCTAAAGTTTATACCACTTTTTTTTATTTCTGCCTCATCTTTTCACCTCTTCTCTGTAAGTACGTTCTCCTTTTCCCATCTTTTTAGCTCCTCTCGTTTAAGCCTTTTTCTGTAAATCTGACCCAGTTGTTTAACCTTCCTACCATATAATTTAAATTCCGATTATTCTTCCAGTGACATTCTGACAGCTTGGCTCTTCTTTGTGCTTTCTCAAAAATGTCTTCCTCTTTTTCTCTGCCTGTCCAACAGTCATAAAGTTTCCCCTTGTTTCTGTGTGAATGTTTTGTCTTCAATATTTTGAACTAGCAAAAATGAAAACAGTCCATTCATCTGGAAGAAGTTGTGTGTGTGTATGTGTGGGTGGTTAGAATTGTGTTCCCTCCGGTCCATCTCAAAGCCGAGCTTTAGAATCAGTTCCAGGTGAACGCTGCTGGAGATTTTCAGAAATGATCTTCAGGTCCTCTCTGTTCTCCTCGCTAGACTGCCCCTACAAACAAGGCTTAAAAAGGCCCTGCATTTGGGGGCCACGCAGGCTGGCCATGTGCAGAATGAAGATTTGTGCATTAAATGGGCTTTTAGGACAGGGCGGGCCTGTGTGCATGCTGTGCCGTGTGTTATTTGCAGTTCTTGAATCCAGCTGTAGACCCTAAGACATGCAGCTTGCAAACCCTTCCAAGTTATTTGTGGGGAATTGTTTGGATTTGTTTGCAGCTGATATGGTTGGAGTGAAATGTCTCCTAATAGGTGCCGGCGCTTATTCAACCACTTTCTGAATGCACACGCCACAGGCTGTGGAAAACAAGACAAAAGAGACATTACAGAGTTGGGATGTTTCCCCAGCTATGTATTAGGAGGTCTGGGTGTGGAGGTGAACTAGGGACAGATGGGTGGAACGCCCATAATCTCCAAGTGTGTTGGACTTTTTCCAGGCGCTGTCAGGATTGAAAATGTGCATCAAGACTCCAGACATGTGGGCCTGTCATGCCTGAATACCTCATCTGGTCATGCAGTGGGGCACGGTCAAGTCTTGAGGGACTGAGAGAGTTTTGTGTGCAAATCCACACTTTTATCTCAGTTTGAACTGAGGAGCGCCCCTTCCTGTTTTCTTAAAGCAGACATGCTCCAGTTAGTGTATCCACAACCAGATAAGAAAAGACAAGATCCTCCAAGACTCAAGCGAGTGTTTTTAGTATTTCTTAATATAGAACACCCTCGAGCGGGAAACACCGTCTTGCTGCTTCATGATGAGCGTGTTTAACAATGTGGTCTGCTGTTGAAGTGGCAGGATCATGGGGAGAGAGGAAAGGAATATGATATTATGTGTGTTTTTGTGTGTGCAAGCATCCAGTATAATCAGATCCAGCTGTGGTCTTGAGTCACTGGTCAGATGAGGAAACGGCTTGGCTCAGACTTCACCTCCTCCTCCACATCTCCATCCATTCTTCATCTAATTACCGACCTTCCCTTCTGCTCCTCGGCACTCAATCACAGTTCTCTGACTCACTGTATGCTGGCTCTGTTAAACCCGTGTATGACTTAAGCCATTTTGTTCTGCTTCCTAGTTCTCGTTTCTTTTCTCTCTCCCAGTTGTCTTGGATTTCACAATAGTCTGATATCGTTTATTGTACCTCTCTTGGCTTTGTTTGCTCAGATTTCTTCGTTTTGTCACTGCTTAATGTTTAAACACGTTTGTGGTTAGCGTACTGGAATAATAAAAAACTTCAGTCGTCTTTAACAAAACAAAAGTGAATCTGTTTGAGAATTAGACTCCCATAATGGTAATTTATATAATGTAAAATTAGGTGACTTAAATTTCTTAATCTGGGGGGTTTCATGGGATAATCTTGTTCTGGCTTCCATCATTGTTGCCTTTCATTGATTTTGTCCTTTGTTCCATCTTCACTCAAACTTCTTGAGGAAAAATCGTGAAACACTTATGGCACGCTGCACTTCTTCCAGCTTGCTGATGCTTCTTGTTAAGTTGTATGAAAAAAAATTAAAGTTTGCTCATTTTTGCAACCTCACTGGATGTAGATATGTTCATTCTTAGCAATCTTTTGCAGCATGTTGAAATAAAAAAAAAGTTGTAATTTGTATCTAAATTGACCTTTACAGCTAGCCAGTGGAATTTCAGTATATAATTTAATAGTTTGGTAATTTAATTTGATTTTAGCTCATCGATCATCTGCTCACACAGACTCATGTTCGTGCTGCTGTTTGGTGCATTGTTTTGTACTATTAGTTCCTTAGTGTATTCTTAGTTTAGCGTATTTCTTAGTTCATATCTTGGATCTTATTTACAATTTGTATTTTTGTTGGATGTAACCGGGACCCTGTGTACATAGTTTCATTCCACCTTATGTACTACATGTGATGTGAATGACAATAAAGACAACTTGACCTTGACCTTGATAACTGTATGTGCCTTTAGATCAGTAAAAAAAAAAAAAAAACTTGACAGAGATGGAGTAACGTGGGCAAATTGGTTGGACTTTTGTTGAAGAAACATAGACAGCATCCAAGAAAAGAATGTTGCTTCAAATAAAATAATAAATAAATAATTATCTTATTATTCAGCAGAAGGATTAAAACATGAAAATAACTAATTCGACTAATCGGGAATCACATAAAAAAAATTCTATAACTCATAAGTAGATTGTGTTTGCATGACTGTTTTTTTTTTTCTGCAGGGACAGTTTTACTTTATATTTTATCAAATTCCCAACAATAACCTGCAGTCTTGGGTTGCACTTTTTCTCCATTGGGTTTGCCTATTTGGGCTTTTTTAAGAATATCTTGTGTCTCTTTTAACCATACCTGTCTGAATGCTCTTTAGCAAGAATAAATAAATCTTTTACAAATTAAACATATGTGACATACAGTAGAGACTTATGTCCCATTTGTAGCACACTCACATAGTGGCCCAACCAGTTTGATGGTGATAAGATGGTTTTTGGAGCCCATCCTCTCCTCCGTCGACTCCTCTGAAGCAGTCATTGCCAAAGTAATTCAAAATATCAAGGTTCATGCTCAATAATCCAGGTAAAATAATCCAACATAGTTAAATCATGCTCTCTGAATGTTTTTTTTAACTGGATTATTGAGCATGAACTTTGATGTTTTGAACCACTTTGGCCATGGCTGCTTTAGATGAGTTGACAGAGGAGAGGACTGTATCTGCAGCCGTAACTGCAACTGTATCTTTCTTTTGTGGATTATAAACACAAGTAAACTACTGTTGAATTAATTTACCACTGCTGATCCAGATGGTGTTACCATAGAAGCAGAGGTGCTTCAGCATTTTGATTTTCAAATTTTATTTAAAATTATTTAAAATTTACTTTAAAAACTAATTAAAAAGGAAACTAATGTATGTACAAGTTGGTTTACGATTGCTCTTCAAATTCAAACATCTTCTTTCTTCCCTTCAGACAGAGCGCGGAGAATGGCTGCAGTTCCAGGCGGACCTCCAGGTGGCGGTGTCCGTGGCAGACCGCCTGAGAGCTGAGACAGAGGAGGAACTCACGGCGCTCAGATCTGCCCATCAAGACACTGAGAGGGAGCTGGCAGCAGCTCACCAGAGACAGAAAGAGGCTGAAATGCAGCTGGTCACCCTGCAGGGAGAGCTGAAGGACACCAGGCAAAGACTGGCCACTCTCACAGAGACCAAAGATAAAACCAAAACCCATGTTCAGTGTGAGGAACCAGAGAGGCCCAGTGGAGAATCCAAAAACTCTGACAGCAAAGAAGGATCTAATAGAGGCAGGGGGAGGGGGCTGTACAGGGTGGGAGGAGAAGGGATGGACAGTAAGAATCAGAATGAAGTGATGAAAAGTCTTGATGAAGATGCAAAAACAAACTGTAAAGGTGTGACTCAGCGTTACCTGAGAAATGTGAAAAACGAGGATAAGAAGGGAGCCGATGTTCTGTTTAACGAGACACGAAAGACGGCGTCCACAGAGAGGTCCAGGTGAGACAAACCCTGCATCCCATTGTCTTCTTTGAAATACACAACATATGAAATTACTTTGTAGTTACAGGGACGTCAGTGTGCAGCGTCATAGATTTTCCAAAACAAAGGCTCCTTGTTTATCACATTTTTCGTCTCTTGCATGCGCAGATGCATTACAATCACCAAGTTTGGTCAGGAATGCGTTTGTGGTCTCTTCTGAATGTGTTCGCCACTCTTCAGTGACAGGGTCACTTGAGGACAATTTTACTTCCAGCTGCAGACGAGTGAAAAGTTATTTGTCAGGGTTTGTTTTGTCATTGTGCTGCAGAAGCCTGTCCAGATTACCTGCCTCTACAGACTCTCTCACCATACACAATGGAACATGTCAGTCCATCTCGGCTTCAAAGCTTGGGCCTGCAAGCAAGGTGAGATTCTCTCTGAGGAAGATCCTTCTGCAACTTTTATCACTCATCAATGATAAGGTAAAACTAGTTTCTATGTCTTTAAGAACGCTGGGCAGCTAAAGGGACGGAAGAGTGTTGACTGGCAAGAAGACAAGTCATCCAGTGACACAGGTCAGTTTTTGTGTTCACACACCTTCTGTGAACGCCGTTTGTGTCCTGTCGAGCATTTTTTTGTATTTTAGCTTTTTTAAATCAAGATTAATTTTGTCTGGAACACTGCAAACCCTTTATTGTGGTGGTGCATTCACTGTATACTGAAAGTTGGACTTGAAGAACCAAATGTTTTGGCTTGGAAGTACCGGTATATATGTTAATCTCAATGCAACAAATTTCAGTCAAATGGACTGTTTCTTTTTTTGTTGATATGTTTCGTCTTTCATGATTATTGAGCATGAACTTTGATGTTTTGAACCACTTTGGCTATGGCTGCCTCAGAGGTGTTGATGGGGGAAAGGGCAGGTCCCAGAAACCATCCTATCACCAGCAAACTGGTTGGTCCACTGTGTGAGTGTGATGCTTGTGGGACTCAGTTGCTGTGGCTCCTCAGACTGATGAAGGACGAAATGTCTCAACCAAAAAAAGAAACCATCCACATGATTGAGTATGAACTTTGTTACCTCATCCAGATGACCTCACTGAACTTTGTTGGATTATCTACCTGGATTACTGAGCATTAACTTTGATGTTAATCTCAATGTTTCTATAAAAATAAAAATACAGTAGTCCCTCACTGGGCAGCACGGTGGCGCAACTGGTAGAGCTGCTGCCTCTCAGCGAACAGGTCCCTGGTTCAAACCCCGGTCCAGGGGCCTTCTGGGTGGAGTTTGCATGTTCTCTCCGTGCATGCGTGGGTTTTCTCCGGGTACTCCGGTTTCCTCCCACAGACCAAAAACATGCATGTTAGGCTGATTGGTAACTCTAAATTGTCCCTAGGTGTGAGTGAGAGAGTGAATGGTTGTTTGTCT